GCGTTGTTTGATTCGGGCTTTATTGATTATATTGGCCATTTGTGCAGTATGTTCTAAGGTGCCAGACATGTTAGGTGTGAATCCTTTTTGAATATTATGTTCAATAAAGTTATTAACGGTTAGGAATGAATACATAGCGTTACGTAGGCAGGAAGTGAATACTTTTAATGGTATGGTCTCCAGTGTGATGGGTCGGAAATTGGACGGGGTATTAGTATCGCCTTTTTTTATGGATTAGTATTGTGCAAGCTTTCTTCCATTCTGAAGGGATGGTTCCAGATTATTATTATTATTATTATAATAATAATAATAATAATAATAATAATAATGGAAACTTTTTATTAGATATTTACGATATACTATATATACATTGATAAACCTCACTTAATAAAAGGTAGCTTATCGATGTCCACTTGAATTGAGTTTAATTAAAGCTAAAATATATATACAGGTGAAAATCTTTTAAATTTAGTGAAAAGTTTAAAAGTTCTGGGTTGTTCCAGTCTTTGTTTCGTCTACAGAATATATAATATGACGTGCGAATACAAGTAGCAATTATTTTCTTTTTTACATATTTAATACATTGTTCGTCGTACTTCAGATCATGGAGCATATCAAATAAAGTATTCGTCGATTCACCAAATACACCTAAAGAGCTTATAGATACATTAACAAACTTAACTTCATCATATATATTTTCTTGATCGGTAATAATAATGATAATAATAATAATAATAATAATAATAATAATAATAATAATAATAATAATAATAATAATAATAATAATAATAATGGAAACTTTATTTTGACATTTTATGTATATACAATTATAAATCTCACTAATTAAGGTAATTTATAATTGACTACTTGAACTATTAATTATTGATAAAACTATATTACAGGTATAAAACTAAGAGAAAGCTCATTCTTAAATGTTCATCAAGTCCGGATCGGTCCAATCCTTGTTTCTACAACAAAATATATAGTACGTTGTTCTGATGGCGATGGACATTATTTTCTTAACACAAAAGTTCTGATGTTTTTTATCAAGACCAACTTCGTTCAACATTTTCATAAACGTGTTACATTCTTTTGAGAAAACACCTAAGGCACTAATAGACAAATTAATAAATTTGACAGTTTTGAAATGGTCTTTCTGCTGCGTAATTAGATCCTTGTATCTTTCCCTTTTGCGATCGACGTTGTTTTGGAGATTGGATTCATATCCGACAGAGAGTTCGAGTATGTACAGACAATCATTTGAAATCGAAAGAAGCAGGTCTGGGCGATAAGTGTCACCGGTTATTATTGACGGGCTCTTGTATCCAGGAAGGTCAACAAATAGAGTGGAGTTGTGGTCAGGTTGGAATATTTTTGAGATAAAATTGAGAATGGAGTCATGTCTCCAAGTAAATCGTGGAAGGTATGACTGGCATCCCGCGACCACATGCAGAAGGGTTTCAGGGTTCAGGCAGAGGGAACAATAATAATAATAATAATAATAATAATAATAATAATAATAATAATAATAATAATAATATGGCTATCATCAGTGGAAATTGAGGAAATACGTACAGCAAGGATCCTGAGGAAGGTTCTGGACTCGTAACCTGCCATCAATATGCTGCGGGAAGTAGCATGATGCCAGGCACAACCGGTGCAAAACCGAGTAAAATGTAGATAATAATAATAATAATAATAATTTTTTAATAATAATAATAATAATAATAATAATAATAATAATAATAATTTAATAATAATAATAATAATAATAATATTTATTAAATGACACTTAATAAGTTTTTATTTTACAAGTAGAGTACAACAACAGTAATATGATCTATTAGCAATCCGATTTCAATTCCCAGGGACCTACAACCCAAAGGGGCGTTTAATCACGTATTTCCCTCATTTCCTATGCATACGCTTTTGTCTCCTAAATTTCCCTTCTAAATTTCCACGGAAAATTTAGTTGAAAACCAAAGATTTCTTTGTCTTATAATTTTCCCCTGCATACTTGATGATAGAAATTTAGAAGACAAAAGCGTACCTCATTACCTCTCATTGGAGAGCTGAACCTCATAAAAAATCATCGGCACAACTATGGACAGTATCTGACGACACCGTCCCGCACGCATTCGAACAATCACTTTGCTAGTTTTTATTCCGCAATCTTGAACATTTCAATTGTGGGAGAAAATTCGGTTTATGCGCATGCCTAAAAAGAATGAACACGCAGATGTGTTTCTGCGCGTGCGTATTATATGAAAAGTGTTCATCCCGCAATCATAAGACAATCCTGAGGGACTTTTACTAAACCTCCCTTGGTTAGCGGGTTCATTTTACTATTTTGCTCACTGATTACCCTCAAAGCATGCGTTTACTTATAAGAATTGCAAAGTGGATTGCTTAGGAAATTACGAAGTTGCGTTTTTTATACACCCTGTATTGACATAATCTATTGTTATTATTAGAATTTGTATGGTCTAGCACTTTGCTGAACGCAACGATGCCTAACTCCGTAAGCCTACATTGAATTTCGGTCGCGTGAAGACAATAGATAATGAAGGCTGAAGCTTAAATTAATGAGGTTTATCATCTCATTATTATCCATCGACTATTGTTTTAATCGCATTCGACGCCACCGAAATTCGGCGTATAAAACGTACCTAAAATATTGCCAGCGTGTATATATAACTATTGACCTATTATTATTATTACGAAATTGGAATATATTTGTAAAGCACACGATTTTTCAGCAGCCTCCCTTATATATGTGAGATTTACAATTGTATGCAATCTAAAAAGATTATACCATTGTTTGTATACCTTTATAGACCCTGTATACTGGTGCATAAATGATCACACGTCCTAATTACGCATTCAGTAAGTTTTTTAATTGACCGGGAAAGGCAAGACAAAATTTTGTTTATTTCTCGTTCAATTTTTAACCAAATTCAACCAAATGTTAATCACCTCTTCCCTAGCCGATGGGAAATGCATACAAAAAATTTCGTATGGATATGTTTGGTATTTCTTGAGTTACCGTGCTCACAGACAAACACACATACACACACACATACACATGCACACACATACAAACCCAGATGATTACATAACCTCCTGGCGGAGGTAACAAACCCAGATGATTACATAACCTCCTGGCGGAGGTAAAAAGGGGAGCAAAGACGCCAGCATGAGCTCCACCTTTGAATTTACTACATGAGTAAATTGTTAAACACGTCCGAATTTATCAATAGAATAAATTCGCAACACATGTCGAGCCCTAACCCCTAACCCTAATCTCTAACCTTAATCTTAATCTAACCCTAATCATGTATCTAGACGTGTACCAAGCTGTACTGACGAGGCGTTGAACGCCGAAACATGCATGTATGTCTGCAGATTGTACTATAGTGCTGATCAGCAGGATGAAAGTAACTGCTATTTACAGTTACCTTTGATGCCTCACTAATGTGGGACATCAAAACCATGCCAGAGCGCTCAAACTGCAAGCAGTGAATGTGCGCAATGCGTAAGCGGCAATGGCGTATCCTGTAGAGCGCTCAATATGACTTAAGGGCCATAGAACGATATCTAACTATAGACGGTACCGTTTCGGCCTTATGGGCCTCATCATGCAGTGTACTATTTTATAACCTAGTAACAATATGTTCAGTAACAATATGGATAATAAAATAAATGGATAGGACACTAGCTGACGTGACCTAATGTTTTCAATGGGCTGATGGCGTGATTGGATGTTGCAAACCAAATTCTCAAGAACGGCATGTTTAGCAATAATACAGCTAAACATTTTAGTCAAAGAGCAAATAAATATAACTACGCCATTCTACGATGAAATCTCTAAGTATTCCTAGTCAATTTTAGCAAATATTTCAAGCACTAAACAGTGAAAAATGCATCGCAAATTTCGTCAAAATTGGCGACGCCAATATCGTAGCTACAAATGTAAAAAAATACAAAACAAAGACGAAAAACATTTACCTTGAATACTTTGTCGTGGCTTAGGCATGTTTTTAAGACAATTAGATCGACCAGTTTAGGCTTCAATATTACTCTTTTAAAGCGGAAAATATAGCGAAACAACAAAAATGCCGAGAACTTTGCATGGTATATATTTGCAATACGCGTGACGTCACAGATTGCAACTAGGTTTAGACTGTGACGTCAGGAAGTTTCCTATCCAGTTATTTTACAATCCATGGTAACAATAATCTCTTTACAATTAAAGAAATTTTGATAGGAAAGATAATACAAATTTGCTACAACAGGAAAGTTTTATACGTTGCTAGGCACGATTTCCAAACATTATGAGGATTGTCGGAAATTTTGTATTCGCATCACCGCTGTTTTATCCGTTTGTGTGGGCCAAGCATGCACATTTAAAAAAGTGGGATGAGTGAGCGATAGATGTGGTATACTAGCTAACTCACGACGTGAAATCAACATGCAAACTATATGATTTTAAACGAATGTTTATAATTTTGAGTAAGAACTACCGATGTAAAGGCTCAACTATGTACACGAGAAGTCCGCGTTGTGTCCAAACCGTCATCTGGTAAAGCGATCTATTAATATATCACTTCTCCACCAAAATATTTCATTGCCTACGTTTCCTTCGATGGAATTTTTATGCCATTTTTTATGCCATTTGTATCATCGGGCCATGCACTTAGTTAATTATTTTGAAAAATGAAAACTTTTTCCATAGGGCATAGGACGATCTGCCTAAAAACGTTGTTGAGGATTGCCAAGGAATGGATAAATATGAAAGCCTCAAAATTGTCGGCATCCCCACATGTTCACATTAATTCATTATACAATTATACCAAAAAAATATTTGACGTTAGTGTATCTTTCATTCGCCCGGATATTTGAACTATTTGACACGATCTATATATACGACCTCTACAGGTCACTGTAATGACAAAGCATAAAGAAGCGTTGAACAATACTACCTTTCATCTTGCTTATATTAGTTCCTTAGTTTCCGCCTACTCAAACATACCTATATTTATTGCTCTTCACTGTAGTACAACAACATATACACGCAACATGGCATCATTATGGTTCACTCTCACGGTAATCCTTTACATTATCTCCGAAATCATTGCTGTTCCTTTACGAATCGCACCACAAAAAAACGAATACTCTAGTTTGGATGGAAATCTGGAAAGTGGCCTGTCAGGACAGGGGTAAGTTTGCCAACTGGATGCTTGTTGTCTGAAATTCCTAACACAGTGTTAGTCTCAAGTTAAAGCTTCTTTCAGATTTTGAACTTTAACTTGACTAAGTAAACTGTTAATACAAGATAGTTATTAAACTATCGGTTAAGAAGATCTAAAGATGTACGTCTAACCGTATAAATTACTTAATAAACTACAGCTGTAAGAATGTTTTGAACTGCAATTTGACTCCTATATAAGAAGTACAATTTGAATGCTTTACATAATGTATGAACAATATAGTACACAGCTTTTGTCTTGGCCGTATAGTACCTGAGAAAGATGACGAAAACTTAGGTGATTCACCATAAGGGCACCAGCTTCCCAAACTGTCGAAACATCGACGTTTTTGTCACATTTTAGGTAGTTAGGAGCAAAATGAAGACGAAATACCATTTTTATAGAGACTTGTAAGAAAATAACCAGAATTTAAGAGACTAGACTTGTGAAGAATTTGCCCGAATACTTCTTGATTTCTTCAGTATTTTCCCGAATTACCTTGGTTTTACTGGTTTCTCAAATTAGATAATTTGTTCTTCTAGAATACAAAATATACGAATTCGACGAGCAGCAAATCCAAGTCCAGCTGGTTGTAAGAACGGAAATCCTTTTGTTTTAGCAAACGTTCCTCAATGTCATGTCGCAAATGCAAAATACAATGCAGAAATGAAGTTATGCTTAGTAGAACTTCTCCACGGTAAGATGTCACTGGATTTTGCTTTCAACTTAGTTAATATTAGTGTTCAAATTAATACCATACATGTATTATTGCAACCTGGGGAATGTCTTAATGATACACTGGATCAGCTAATTTCGTAAGGCTTGTTTAATTAATAAAAGGAATCAACAACGTTTGCGTGCAATTTGGAGTGTAACTTGGATTAAGCATGCACAAGTGATTGTGGAGTTTTTAAAGACGGTCCAAATAGTCCGAGTACGAAGGACGTGTGGAATTTGAAGTCTTTGAAAAACTCTCGAGACTTTACCTATGCTCACTTGAATGACTCAACAACTTATGATATAAGCTTACAACTGTCAGAAGTCAAAACGTAAATCAAAGTGTCGTTTATTTGGGCGCATACCACACTGTTACTTTCTTGGCACTGAATTTGTTACTATTTTGGCATAATGTGGATAGTGCTGAGCTTGGAGTCAAAATCAAAGAGAAATAGATTCGTGCCCGCCACATGATATATTATCGTTTTCTTTGTATAGGTAATAGAGTGCAATTGGGAAAAAACATGGTTTTTAAGTTTTTGACTCATAAGTGTACGTTTTTTCAAATTGCACGAGAAACCATACTATTAGTTATTAATAATACACATAAAAAAATTAACACCAGCCATTTTTTTACAAAAAAAACGCCAGTCAATTTTGTCACTCCTAAAAACTCCTATAAATGTGTTTTTCTATTGTTTCTGCTGCAAATTACTCTATCTTATTGGCTATCTTTGTTATTGTTTCATATTTTAAGCCAATCAGAAAGCCTAAATAGTCAAAGAAATTTGCACTGTATTTCGTTTTTTGCACTGTATTTCATTTTTTGGCACTGTATTTCGAAAAATTGCACTAACTATATATTAGACAATCAGAATTGTGAATGTTTTCCCTGTATATTATTAACAATGTAATAGTGCGAAATTCGATACCACTTCTTGCCTTACAAAGAAATATGTAAAATGTTCATGTTTCGTGTATGAATATATTTCTCTTTCATCTTGACCGCCAACACAACACTTAACCTTACATTACGTCAATTCATGTTATATTAAAATTTAAATTTAGTGCATAAATAAAGATATATAAATGTTGCGGGTACCTTGAATGATCTAAGCAACGCCTTAATCTAAAGGGGGTCTTTTTTAGTTAACGGACGTCTATACTAGAGAGGGGCGTTTCACACGGAACATTTTAGCCTCTTTGAACAACATTTTCCAATTAATTGGCAGAGTGAACCATTTAACTTCCATAGCCCATACACTCCATTACATTATCTAATAGACGCCCCTGTAGGGAGTGAGCGTTTTTTTTTTATAAGGCGCTTTATATCTATTACAAAGTTCTTGTTTGACTTGAACGTTTATTAGACAGAAGGCGTGTAGTAGAGAGTTTATTAGACAAAAGGCGTTTACTGAATCATTTACGATCTTTGGAAAAGATTGCGGTGCCCAAACAAAGTTTAGCATTGCTTCGTATTCGCTGCGTGAGTTTGTTAATGTGTTAGTTTCTTATATAAACTCGAATGGTCAGTGTCAGCGTAGTTGTAATGATAAAAACACCAGATAGCTGCGGATTGAGAGGGTTTCAACAACCTGAAAAGTACAAGTAAAACTTCAACGTTTCAAGCAAGGGCCCTTCGAAGGGCTTCCGCACGAAACGTCGAAGTTTTTCTTGTTAGTCTTGGTATTTATTCAAAAATAGCATGTCTTTGCGCTTGTGATGCACTTGTTCTGCGCATGCTCCATGGAACCGCACTGTTGTAATACGTCTTGTTAAGGTAGAAATCGCTGATTTTTTAATTAGGAATGTGAATATTGAAAAACTTACATTTTGTGTCCTTTTTGTAGTCCCAGGAATGCCAGACGGAAGTAAAGGGTATAACTACATCGCGTTCAACCACTTTCTGTACAAAATTTACAATGCAACAAATCGTGTAGACATCGTGAAATGTCCAACAACGTCTACGCCGAAACCAGCAACAACAAATTCGGGAACACAACCACAAACAAAACCTGCTACAACAAGTGTACCTAAAACAACACAGCCAAAACCAACAACAGTCGTAAAGAAAACGGAGCTTGATACAAATACATCAGGAAATACGCCATCAACGGCTGCAAAACAAGTTGTTGTTGCGTCATCGTAAACGAACAGCTACGAAATTTACAAAAGTTTGCTGCTGTAAAAGGAGTTTGCTGTCGAATTCAACTGGATGAATGACGGAACTGCATTGGCCTCAATTGCGAGTTTAAATATACGAATGCAATCTCGAAACGCTGGGCCCAAATTAAAATTAATTTTCTTTCGAGTTAGGAGAAAATATGACTGATATTAGATATTATACTCGTATATAGACAATCAAATCAAGCCATCTTATAACAGGCATAAACTCGCCAACTTATAACAGGAATTAAATGATAACTTATTTTTGATATTAAAGTGACTTTGTATTATATTTAAATTTATATATATATATATATATATATATATATATATATATATATATATATATATATATATATATATATATATATATATATATATAATTCAGTCAAGGTTTGAATGTTTGCGTCTCTACTCTGAGTTTCACGCTTTACGCGATCATCAGGCAACTGACAGATATTATTCAATATTCATAATAAATATAGGTTATCATTTTACAACTTGATTAAGCAGGTATCTGGTTACATGTCTACATTTGGAAAACAAGTCAGAGCGTTTGTTCAGGCATTCAGTTTTCTTCGCTTTCATAATAAATATATATATATATATATATATATATATATATATATATATATATATATATATATATATATATATATATATATATATATATATATATATATATATATATATATATATATATATATATATATATATATATATATATATATATATTGTATATTGCACAAATATATTTATCACATTAAACCGAAATTAAGCTGCTTCGATTCCTTTCTTCTTGTAACAAGCCTCATAAATACAATGCAGCATGGCTCCAGGACAGTATGTCCAATTTTTCTCAGGAGCCCTTACCATGCACACCGGGTGACAAAAAATTGCCAAAACGGGAAATAATTTAAATCAGTGAATTCTACGAAAACTGGAACGATAACTCAGGCTGTGTTTTTGAAGCCAAGATGGTGGAAATTTAAGCCCTAGACCCCTACGCGGAAATTCTTTGAATTCAGCGCGGTGCGAAAAATCGACAACATGTCATGTAGAAATTTCATAATTTTTCGGCCGGCTCTCTTTTCGGTCCATGTTACCGTGGCCTTACGAAACTAGAGGAAGTTGTCTTTCAGAATAACCAAATTTTAGAAACACTTCATCATAAATGCAAAGTTGTTTGACAAGTGAAAAACAAGTTCAGAAAACCCTGCGCGGAGGAACACCAGCAAACGTTTGTTTTTATGGCCAGTTGATGAGGGAACTGAACATAGAATAATAGAACCAAAATACGGCGGTCAGAACTGCAATGGCGGATATCTTACCTTTTCATTTCAGACTCGTCCCCAGTCGTTATTTGAATTTCAATTTTATATATAGGGACGAATAGGTATATATCCATATATATATATAGATCAGTACCAAATGTGGACGCGCGCAAGGGGGAAAGGGAAGGCGAGGGGAAAAATAACGACTGGCAGATTACAGAGACAAAATGGCGGACAATTTGACAACAAAAGAGGAAAGACTATTTTAATATACACCACAGAGCGTTTTCAAACTTTGTATACTTACTAATTTTGAGGTGGTCTTTTTAGTGATTTGGTTCATTTCTTAATATGGGCACTTTTTAACATTCGTCCCCAGTCCTCTCACCAACTTCGGAATAGCTAATTTGTCATCATCTTGTTGCGAGGTTGCATGCATGACGACAGCAACAGATCTGCTACAACGGGGTTCCTGCAATTACAAGATTAACACAGGCTGTTCGTAACAAGCTGCTACGAACTTGTCGTCATCAACTTGTTAACAACTTGTTATACTTCCAGCAGACGATATCAAACTTGCTGGACCAACTTGTTGCGAGTCTGTTGGCCTCATCAACCTTGTTAGCTGATAAACTCCCTTGTCCGCATGAGGAATGTCAGTATAATTTATCTTGCTATGATCAAGATGGTTTAGACCACCATTACAGGACAATCCATAAATGTCCTGTAACCTGTTATTTCAGGCTTTCAGCTGATTAGTGATATATTTAAAATTTAAAAGGCGAAAAGTCTTATTGTGCCAGATAACTGAGAGAAGCACTCAAAGGAAACACTGTCATGTTTGGAAAAGCTATCGATTAACAACCAATCGAAGGTATTCGTAAATCTAGAGTGGTGAATGCCTTTAATTGGAGCCAGCGAGCAATATAAAAACAGGTTGGTATTTTATTCAATTTTATTTATGCGTTTATATCTTTATATTTCACGATGAAATGCACTCCTAAACTCTTTGGATTATAAAGAAGACAGCTTTTTGCTGGGGGTTTTTTTTCAAATTGTGTATTTCACAATTTGGTTGCTGAAACTACAAATTTTTGTTATTTATAAATTACTTTATAAAGTGCTATTAACTCCAGGTTTTGTGTAATATGATTATGTGCCAACTTAAAACTTTGCATACAAGGCTATTAAATCAATGACAAGACTTTTGGAGCATTCAAATATTTCCCAAAATACCTGTAAATAACAAAATATACCCCCCCGTAACTAAATGTTGCTGTATGATGAAAAGACGTTACATTGGTCATTAACAACACATTGTTGGGGGGCACAGGGTTGTAGGGATAATATAGAAGCTCAGGTGGCACATAACGCCTATCATAGCCTTAATTAAACAATTTGAAAAACCAGAAATACTGTATCAATGCACTGGGGCCAATCTGGCAATTACTTCTAACTATGTTCTGACAATCCTTGCACTCATAGCCCTTGAAATGATAAGGTAATTTCTACCTTGTATCATGGCCAACGTTTAGGGCCACTTTCGGTGCCTTAGCAAGCTCGATAATTGGGGGAGGCTCATATTCATATATTATATTCGTGTTCTGCGTTATTAATTTCTTTTGAAATGGATTGTTTTTATGGACTGTGAATATGAATATATGAATATGAGGGCCCCCCCCCCCCAATTATCGAACTTGCTACGGCACTGACTTTTGGTTGTTATACCATTAAGTCTGATAATTGCACCACCAATGGTTCTGGTATCTCTTGTTTTTCCCATCATCATTTCTGTACTCAACTTTACAACATATAATATATTCTTGTTTATTCCAGAATTATCTTACAATTGGGACACCATTTATCACACAATTGGGAATTTGTCCTGACTCACCCTGGTTTCCCAATTAAGCCCTAGAGTGACAGCACTCTCCCTTGATGAGTAAATTGTCTGGTATTAGACAGAGTAAAATAATAATGTAGGGCATGTCAGGGTGCATTGCCACTTAAAGGGTTAATCTTGATCTGGGTGGCAAAATACTGCAGTACCAAGCAAGATGTATAGAAATTGAAGACACAAAAGCTGGATTAATTTTGAACCATTTTAATTGGACTTCTTCAATGGAATTATTAACAGTGAATAATTTTAAATTAATTTAAAACTAAAATGTATTATAATTACAGTTAATGTACATGATGTAGTGGAGCATGTCTATTATATTAACTTAATAAAGCTTTATACTTTCATATGTTATCTGCATGGTGGGGGGTGGGTGGTTGTGCAGAAAAATTCAGGGGGGAAGGTGAGTGAGGGGCATGTAGCCACAGAATAAGGCACACAGAAGGTCGACTCGAGTAACCACTGCCACACCATGATTCATCATCAAAATGCTGACGCCATGGTCCTAGCCAGTGCACATTTAAGAGGCATTCCCCCCTGGACGTTCGCCATTTTGAATAATATCAGGGGGTGAATGCCTCTCAAACGCGCACTGGCTAGGACCATGGCGTTAGCATTTGATGACAAATTACAGGTTACGCCTAAATCATAGGAAAACCCGAGAAGTCGGCCTTCTGTGTACCTTATTCTGTGACGTAGCATCCTGAGGAAGATTAACCAAAACACAATATACCAGACAAATATAAAAATCTTATGTCATTTGTAATACAATGTTATGAATTGGATTGATCATGTATTACATATGCACATCAGCCTTTACACATGTAAAAAGAATATATTTGTTTATGTTCGCACAACACCCTTTACTTTTCACAGTTAGGAAATATGGCTGCCAAAGCTCTTGAAAGGTGGCTTTTTACACTAAGATCATCAGTAACAACATCCTCTTGTTTAAGTCTCAACCCATCTGTTTTGATGCATATAGTCTTTAAAGAGCCCTGAAGATCTCCAGGAACAAATGTGCCAACATCACCTGCACATTCAAACAAGTGACTTATTAAAAATACAAGTTCCAACCTTGAACAACTTTCCTGCATTTAGTTCTTACTTCTTGCCTTCTTGGTAATCCCGGACTCTTAGAATCTGGTGTTAGGTCGTGTTTGACGTCAAATGGCAGTAACTTTCTCGCTTTAGGAGTTCTAGGAGTGCTGGTCTTAGGACATTCATCTGAATTTATGGAATTGAAGTCTATAGATCAGAACGACAAAAATTACAACTTGACTGTCATGAATAGCGGACACTGATTGGTCAAATTTAAAGTTTGCATTATATTTGAATTTAATTTTATAAAAATAATCCAATTATTTTATCTAATTTGCATATTTGGGCAAGTTGAAATATTGATGTTGCCACCTTAAGTGATCCTTGAACGCAAACGGTTGGAAAGCCTTCATGTCTTGTATATAGAAAAATAATTTTTAGTTAAATTAAACTTTTCTTCTTCTTAAGGGAAAGTACATTTATTATGCCGAGGGGGGCGGGGGGATGAAGATGTTAAGGAGGGCACCGAAATATTTTCTGGCATTAAAGGGGTGGCTCTGAAAGTCCTCGATATACTGAATGGGGGAGCTCTAAACTTTTCAACGGTTTGGTCCAGCAGGGGCCTGGAGTGTTCACTTCCACCATATAGTTAATAGAATAGATGGTTTGGAAACTCATTAGAATAACAATATAACTCATTACCTATGTTAGTGAACAATAACATTCATAGATCTGGTCTTTTACCGTCACATGAGACGTATTGTATTTTTGCCCGACTAACCAATAGCAATGTTTTAGGAAAGTTGCCTATCCATGACTCAAACAATAGGGTAAATTGAAAATTGTGGTGAAAGAATATATTTATGAATAAACGTTGACTAACATAGATAATGAGTTTATATTGCTATTGTAATGATTTTCAAACTGTTTATACTATATTAACTGACATTTGGGGAGCTCCACATGGAATACGTAAAAGAAGGCTGCAACACACCTGTCAAAAATGCATGAAAAAGCACCAATATGCTTCAACTTCTGAAATTTTCATTCTCTTTCTACCAAATTTTCCATGAATATGGAACATATCGTTCTTACAAATCGTTTTCTTTTGGTAATTTTACTGAATCCATTTGTAGAGCAGACCAAGGGTACTTTCATTAATTAAACTGAAATCTGTTTCTAAATACAAACATTTTATGGGAAGATATAGAGATGCAAATGTCGAAAAATCGGCCATATTGTTACTAAAAATAGAACAAAATGGCGGATTTTTAGAAATTTAAGTCATCATATCTTCGCAAGGAATGGTTATCAGGGACGTAGCAACTGGGGGTTGTGGGAGGAGGGTGTAAAGCTCCCCCCCTACTGTGAAATTCAGACAAAAATCATGTAAAATTCAAGTTAAAATTTTGACATTTTCAGGTAAAAGTTGCATAATAAAGTAATTATTTTTGTGAAATGATAACCATTTTTGTAAAATACAGGCCATTTACATGCAATTTGTTTGCGAATTTGCTTTAGAAAACGCCGGAAATTCAGTCCTAGAGCTTTAAAAATGAGAGTGCCAATCAATCACAAAAAGCTTTAATATAATTAATACACATATAATCCTCCGACAGATGCTTCGCTACGTCCCTGATGGTTGTATTCGAAGCCGATTCCAGTTTAAGATATCCTTAGTCTGCTCTTCTAAATGGATACATGAAATCACTTATAGCTTATTTTAAATTTTTTGGCGCCAGGTTTGTGAAGTAATTTACCCGCCAAAAAGTAGCAGTTCCAAAAACAAAAAAAGCATACGATTTGTAAGAATGATATGTTCTGTGTTCATGGAATATTTAGTACAAACGGGATAAAAAGTAAAGAAATTGAAGCATACTGGCGATCGTGCATGCATTTTGACAGGCAAGACATTTGCAACAGATGCCAGGTGATACGTTGGGTGGGGGCGACGTTCTCTAAAGTTCCCGCACATTACCCTGATCCAGGAAATCCTGGCCACTACATGAACATGTTCAAGACTCCGACCACGCTGAATGACGGACAACAACAACCTGTTGATAATTTCGCCCGTAGAGCCAATCTAAAATGTTTTTTTTTTAAAGACGGTGCCATTTCATCTGGTGCTAGTGAGGTGAAAGAAGCAGCAGGTAGGTATTTTTGTTGAGGAGAAGCACATGCTTGAGTATATCAGACATCTTGAGAACTGCAAATTGTATCTATGATAAGAGAGAATTCCGGATTGTACTCTTCGATTCCGAATTCTAGGGGCGGCATCGAAAATTTACCAATAACCTCAACAGGGGCCCTGTAAAAATATGACATTTTTTTAAAGACATCTTTATCCCCCCCCCTCGGCGTAATAAATGTACTTTCCCCTTAATACTTAGTTATGTTATAATCATTACTTGTAAATATTCTATTCGACTCTTAAAAATTATTCTTATGAACATTGTAAAACTAGGGACCTCTACCAAAAAACCTGAAAGGGTTTCATTAAGATCCCTAGCCCTTCACGTTGTTATTATAGCACTGTAATTATGTAAACTTTTTATTGGGCAAAATAAATAATAATAATAATAATAATAATTAAAACGATATGATTTTCATCCCGTAGAAATCTGAAACTTCTACTAAAGCTAACGTTGTAATACCATCAGATATAGTGTGAGCATTATTTTTTTGGGACACTCTGTATAATTAACGGCTTTTGTCCTGGCCGTACTACCTGAGAGCATAGATATCTTATATACACTAGATAGCGCATCTCTTTTAGTAAAATTGAAGCCAAGAATATTCCAGCGGTTACCCCCATTTGAATAGATGGCGGCCATGTTGAAGTTTCCCACTCGCTAATAAACGCTTAAAAAACAACAATAACTTTCATTATTTGAATAGTTTGAAAATGTATTTGGAAAAGGTTTAACTTAACGTTTAAGTTCCCTGTTTAAGAAATAGAAAAAATACGAGTCTTCTCAATTCATGGGAGTATCCAGAGGCTGCAAACACGGCTTCAATTTTTGAATTGCAGAATAATTAGATGCACTATCTAGTGAATATAACATATCTATGCCTGAAAGAGATGAATAAAACTTACATGATTCACCATTAGAGCACCAGCTTCCCTAGCCTCCTCCGCAGGCATCTCGTTGTACGTACTTCAGAAATTTTTTTGCCTGCAAGCAAATTTTTCCCGATAATCTAAAGGCGATGCCTGCGGAGGAGTCTACAGCTTCCCAAACTATCGAAACATCGACGTTTTCATAACATTTTAGGTAGTTAGGAGAAAATGAAGACGAAATACCATTTTCATAGAGAATTGTAAGAAAATAACCTATTTTAACAGACTTGTGGAGAATTTGCCCGAATACTTCTTGATTTTCCCAGCATTGTCCGGAATTATCTTGATTTTATTGGTTTCTCAAATTATATAATCTTTTCTTCTAGAATACCAAACATACGAATTCGACGAGCAGCATATCTACTTCCAGCAGGTTGTGAGAAGGGAAATGCTTTTGTTTTAGCAAACGCTCCTTCAAGTCATGTCACAAATTCAAACTACAACGCAGAAATGAAGATATGCCTAATAGAACTTCTCCACGGTAAGATATGACAGGATTATGCTTTATGACCTGATGACCTTCATGGTCGCAACCTGGGGAAAATCTTAATGATGCACTGACAATATCTGATTTGGCAACGCTCATCTTATAGTCGTCTAAACGAAATCAACAGTGTTTGCGTAAAATTTGGAGAGCAATTTGCAATAAACATGCACGAGTGGTTTTGTGAGTTTTTTAGAATGCATGTACTGATAAAATATAAAACGAAATGGCAAAGTAAATTTAGTTGGAGTTGAAGTGTGTCAATGAATTTATGCTAATTAATGATAATTTAAGTTCAATTTTGTTTTGACACGAACACGGATGTTTATGAAGAAGGAACAGCACATTGCTGTAGTTGTGATGCGACATGAAACTAAGTGATTGCCTAAATATTTAAAATTTGCGATACGACTAGGACAATACCAACTGTTTAATGCAACTAACTATATGTTTAATTGTTTGGGTTGGATCACTACTATTAGATCACTGTGGGTTTATAGATGGGGGACGAAGACGAAGCTGGCAAATGGACGTATTTTATTATAGATTATATTACCCATGCCCAAAAAGTGAAGGAAATGCGTTGCCCTATCTTCGTGAACTGACGCCTATCCCACAAGAAACCTACTTTACTTTACAGCAGCATATGAAACGGAGGCAGCATTTTCCTTGCGATAGTAAGTCCTTACTCCTTAGTAGTCCATAGTAGATTTGAGATAAAACATGCTTGTAGTGTTTGGGTGTAAAGGCCAGTTCAAACGAGGATGAGAGTTTATGAGAGTTAGCAGTAACGCATTGTTATAGGGGACATTTCAAACTCTAGATTTACAAAATAAAAGATTGATGAGCGTTCCAGCTACGTTTTAACTTGAATAGAATACATGATAGTGTTTGGAAAGCAACTGAGAAGAGCTAACCAGGTCGCGTGACTGCAACTCTCATGTACTCTCATCCGGGTTCGATCAGGGCTTAATGGTGTATGTATCGACTTTTGCATGAAGTGCTGTAAAATATAAAACGAAATGGTGAGGTAAATTTAGTTAGAGTTGAAATATGGCAATGTATTTATGGTATTGATAATTTTGGTTTGACACGAACACGGATGTTTTCATGCATATAATTAGATACGACAGACATGCATTCCATTCCCTGTGCATTAGCTTGAGACGTGACTGCATTCATAACCGTCAATGAACGCAACATATATACGTGGTGAGTATGAAACTAAGTGATTGCCTAAATATTTAAAATTTGCTAACATATTTAAAATTTGCCATACAACTAGGACAACATCAATTTAATACAACTATATATTTAATTGTTTAATTTGGATAGTTAGATACGACAGTTACACCAAAACGTGAGGCAAATACAAGGTCACGTACTCACGTGACTTCCAACTTTCATGCACTCTCATCCATGGTTGATCCGAGCTAAATGCTATACGTGTTATACATAGATATCTTATATACACTAGATAGTGCATCTAATTATTCTGCAATTCAAAAATTGAAGCCGTGATTGCAGGCTCAGGATATTCCCATGAAATGAAAAGATTCGTATGTATCCTATTTCTTAAACAGGGAACTTAAACATTAAGTTAATCCTATTATAAATACATTTTCAAACTATTCAAATGATGAAAGTTATTGTTATTTTTTAAGTGTTTATTAGCGAGTGGGAAGCTCCAACATGGCCGCCATCTATTCAAATGGGGGTAACCGCTGGAATATTCTTGGCTTCAATTTTACTAAAAGAGATGCGCTATCTAGTGTATATAAGATATTTATGGTGTTATATTGGTTTGACACGAACACGTACGGATCTTTTTAATGCATCTAATCAGATACGACAGTAACTATCATATTGCATTTCCGGTGCATTTGCTTGGGACGTGACAACATTTATAAGTCAATGTGCAACTATATGTTTAATTGTTTGGGTTAGATAGTTAGACATGACAATAATACCAAAACGTGACGTAAACACACACCATTACGCACCCAACTACTTTCTGCCTCACCATATACATATACGCGTGTACTAGGGTATAAAACGTGCACTCCCAGTTTCCGTTGCGGCAAGAATATTATGATACAATGTGCTGCGTTGTAATGCAGTTCTGTTAAAACAATATATAATGGTATATTTCGATATACTATCGTATCATATTCTATAATTAGACTAAATACGCATGAAGTTAGTAAAATAGATAGTGCTACGACTTTTACAGATTGAAAAATCTGAACTAGAATAACAATTACCCAAAGACAAATTACAGTAAGACGGAAATCAAGGGTCTTTCCGGAATAATAATATACATGAAAACATTTCTCAATTCTGATTGGCTTAGGGCAGTGTTTACAAAGAGGTCTACAATTTCCTGGTTTTGGAACATTCATCCGTGAGAATACCCTGGATTCCAGAGACTTCGACAGTAAATAATAAATTGAAACGTCGCGAAGGCTCTGGTTCAACGGGACGATTCTTTGATTAAACCGCGCCAATCACAAAACAGAATTAGTGGTTTTAGTGTACTAAAACCACTAATTCTGTTTTGTTATTGGCGCGATTTAATCAAAGAATCTACCCGTTGAATCATAGCCTTCGCGACGTTTCAATTTGTTATTTACTGTCGAAGGCTCCGGAATCCAGGGTACCGTGGATAAGAACGGTGTTTTATAAAATGTGGGGCTAGCCATTTCAATTTTTAGTTATACGACAGCTGTTGAAGAGGAAACATCAAACAAACAAGGATTCACTCAAGAGAAATAAGGAAATCGTATCAAAGACGTCTGTAAGTACTGTATACCTGCAATATTTCCTCACAGACGTTGAATTAATGTACAATGTACTGTTGGAACGCCGGGAATCATCAATGCTTCAAAGCAATATTGGACGTTCGTTATGCTTTAAAAATTTTCACCATTGCTTTAATTCGCTGTTGTTGATCTGTTAGATGTATAGTTCGTACTCGATTATGACAATCTAAACAAAGGTCTCTTTAGCTGTAGCAATTTTCCAGCTGCTCTAGAAGTGGCTACGAATGATTTCGGCAAATGTTGGTAAAATATTTTAGTTGCAATATAACCCTTGATTTTGATATCCAGCCAGTAGACAACGGCAATACCAATCAGTACTCGATAATGGTGGCTCAATCTACGTAGTAGTATACCTATACAATCCAGGAAGAGTCTGTCTTCCTAAATAGTAAACCTTGCGTAAATGTTAGATGTACTTTATAGCTGTATTTAAACCTAGTTTAACAATAAAATACTGCATTATACCAATGGTACAATTATCTAAAATACCAGTATACCTGAAACCCCTGGCCGAGCCTGATATGTTCGTCACGACTGTCAGGTCGTCGACATCTAGACAGTGATAAAACAAATATATTAGTATCCATGCAATAATAAATCAATCCTTGTTCATACTTATACACTGGGCAATAGATATGATAATCACCTGTGTATATTCGTCCTGTGCCGGAGTAAACCGGAGCATCCGGAGAAAATCCACGACTTTGGGCAGAGTGTTGACTGACTCTTTCCACTTGAGTCCATAGCGAGAATCGAACCCACGTACGTGAGAGGTGCTTGCTCTGACGGCTGCGCCACCGAAGCTCAATAGGTAACTTATCAACTAACCAAAGATCGTCACCATTGAGAAAATTATGCTTACCGGAAATAGACTGATTTTGAGAACACAACGCGAGCTGAAAGAAATTCTTCATGCAAAAAAGTTTGAATTATTTGTCATCGCAGAGATATCTTAAACAGCGTTGTCGCTTAACGTTAAACTAAGATTTTCACATCTTTGGAGCAACGTGAATGCTTATTGCGATGTTGGAGGGGTTAAATAAATTCTACCTCATAGCAGACACCGGATCTTTTTTCCCAAACTTATATAGCTATTGGTATAAGTTACCACAGTAATCATCTTGAGTTGAAATTGAGACCCGACCGCATCGTCAAGATTGCCTTGTCCTCGTTTCTAAATGTGTTTACCAGCTCACGTATAAAACTTAATATATATTAGGCCAAACCCAGTTGTTTGTTTTGCTCGCAACGTTTCGGAAGTTGCTTCTCCCATCATCAGGCGTGGTGAAAGGAGGATTTCTTTCTGTATATTTAACGGTTGGTTTCACTGTCAACGTATTTGTGTTCAATATCCGAAAATATCATTGTTAAAAGTTGAAAATTTTCAACTTCAAATTTTTTTCGACGGCGAGAATTTGTGTCGGCCAATCACACTTTACAAAATTTTCTTTAAGGTTACAGGACACCCTTTTAGGCGTTTTGCGGAAAATCGCTACTGCGCGCTCAAAATCAGTCCGATTTTCACCAGATTTTCACCAAATGTTATAAGCAGTCCATGCAAAATATGATAAAGTTGTAAAATTGACAAACAATAAAATAATGTAAGAATTATTCAGGAAAATCGTAAGTCGCGGTACCTTTACGCTTTTGAGTTATGTTCCTGCTGGTTTTAAGATATATTTATGAAAATATCATTTTTATACAGTAAAATAGTTGTCCTAAAAAATTGTGTTCGGAAATGTTTGTTTATTTCGTCATTCTGCTGATAGGGTGATTTCTTTGACGACTGCAATATATTTCTGAATCGTTTGTGTGAATTGCTCCTTATTATTAAAATATCCAAAATTAGAACAAAGCCGAACACTATTTTGAAACTGACGTCTTTAGCTATGTCCTGTGAAAACTTGAGAAAAAATCGTTAAAACGCGCAGGAGCACAACTCGTTTAAAAATCAGTAATTGCCGTAAAATTCTTTGGGAGGAAATTGAATTTGAATATTACATTTTCAATGTTTTTCTTTTTGCAAGCGAAATGTATTTTATTAAATAACTCTGCGAGTTTTCAACATTTTTCGTCCAAACTTGGTCAGATAGTAGAACTAGTCTAATGCTTACATGGAAACCAATAAAAAAAATTTAGGCAAAATTAACACTCAAAGGTGTTCTGTAACCTTAAGCGAAACATTTTCGTGAGGGGAAATGGGCCTTAAATCCTACGTTTTGAACGATTTGTAAGAAATGTTTAAGGGAACTGATTCAGTGTTTAACACTGTGTTAGTTCCATCAAACATTTCTTACAAATCCTTCAAAACCCGGCAGGGCTTACAGGAAAGGTAAATTCAGAAGATATGATACCCGATACTATTTTTGCCTTTTTACGACTCGTCGGTAAATATAAAGATATACAAGCTTCAGTGAAGCTAGCAATGCCAAATTGTATACGCGCAATCGCTCAATCAGCCTCAATGCCAAAGTATACTTCCAGAGTGGTTTTTGAAGAACGAGGCATGATCACAATATATATATATATATATATTGTATGATGCATGAATATTCTGAACAACCGTATAGAATATTCACTGATATGGCTTATTTAGGATTTTATCACCAGACATGCAAGTGTTTAACCGATATATAAAGGAGCACTCGGGAAATATAAAGATATACAAGCTTCAGTGAAGCTAGAGTAAAGCTAGAAATGCCAAACTGTACACGCGCAATCGCTCAATGCCAAAGTATACTTGCAGAGTGGTTTTTGAAGAACGAGGCATGATCACAATATATATATATATATATATATATATATATATATATATATATATATATATATATATATATTGTATAATGCATGAATATTCTATACAACCGTATATATAGAATATTCACTGACATGGCTTATTTAGGATTTTAACACCATACATGCAAGTGTTTAACCGATATATAAAGGAGCACTCGGTAAATATAAAGATATACAAGCTTCAGTGAAGCTCAGTAGAGTGAAGCTAGCAATGCCAAACGTAGCTACTGGATACGTGCAACTGATCGCTCAATGCCAAAGTATACTCTTTATATAAAGATACCAAATTCAAGGAAGCAAAAAATGCCGAAGTATAAGTATACCTGTAGTCGTAGACTGCATTTTTGAAGAACAGGCATCAATATATATTACGGCAGGGCTTACAGGAAAGGTAAATTCAGAAGATATGATACCCGATACTATTTTTGCCTTTTTACGACTCGTCACGAAATTCGTGAACCACATCAGCACAACATCATATGAAGACTAGGCAGTGCAAACTTTATGTAAGCAAGTTCGTAAATTCAGAAGAGATAATACCCGGTACTATTTTTGCGTTTTTACGACTCGTGACGAAATTCGTGACGAGTTATATCGACTTGTACCTTGCGATGGATTTCACGACTCGTGACAACTTGTAACGAGTCGTGAAATCGTGACGAGTTATATCAACTTGTACCTTGCGATGGATTTCACGACTTGTGACAACTTGTAACGAGTCGTGAAATGCGGGAGTATTGGACATGTATGTAGAAATATGGCAATGAATTGATGCTGATAATTATGCAGTATATTGGTTTGACACGAACACGTACGGATCTTTTTAATGCATCTAATCAGATACGACAGTAACCATCACATTGCATTTCCGGTGCGTTTGCCTGGGACGTGACAACATTCAAAAAGTCAATGTGTAACTATATGTTTAATTTTTTGGGTTAGATAGATATGACAATAATACCAAAACGTGACGTTAACATATACCATTACGCACCCAACTACTTTCTGCCTCACCATACACATGCGTGTACTTGGGTATAAAACGTTCACTGTCAGTTTCCGTTGCGGCAAGGATATTATAATACAATGTGCTTCGTTGTACTGCAGTTCTGTTAAAACAATATATAATGGTATATTTCGATATACTATCGTATTATATTCTAATTAGACTAAGTACGCATGAAATTACTAAAATAAATAGTGCTACGACTTTTACCGATTAAAAAATCTGAACTAGAATAACAATTACCCAAAGACAAATTACAGTAAGAGAAATCAATTTCCAGCATAATAATATACATGAAAAAATTGCTCAACTGTTCTGATTGGCTAAGGGCAATGTGAACAAAGAGGTTTGCAATTTCCTGGTTTTGGCACATTCTTCCGTGAGAACGGTTTTTATAAAATGTGAGGCTAGCCATCTCAATTTTTAGTTATACGACAGCTGTGGAAGAGGAAACATCAAACAAACAAGGATTCGCTCAACTCAGTACTCAAGAGAAATAAAGAAATCTCATCAAAGACTTCTGTAAGTACTGTATACCTGCAATATTTCCTCAGACGTTTAATTAATGTACAATGAATGAGTGACTGTTGGAACGCTGGAGATCATCAATGTTTCAAAGCAACATTGGACGTTCGTTATGCTTTAAAAATTGTCACTATTGCTTTCGCTGTTGTTGATCTGTTGGATGTATAGTTCGTTCTCAATTATGACAATCTAAACAAAGGTCTCTTTAGCTATAGTAATTTTTCAGCTACACTAGAAGTGGCTACGAATGATTTCGGCAAATATTGGTAAAATATTTTAGTTGCAATATAACCCTTGGCTTTAATATGCCAGGCCCAGCCAGCGGAAGGCTACGGCAATACCAATATATTCGATCATGATGGTGGCTTAATATAAACAGTAGTGTACGTGCACCTACAATTCCAGGCAAAGTCTGTCTGCCTGAATAGTTAATGACTTAATGTTGAGTAAATGTTGAGTACTATATAACCGTATTTCATAGTTCTATTTTAACAATAAAATACCGTATAAAATAATTGATACAATATATCTGAAACCCCAGGCCGTGCCTGATATGTTCGTCGCAATTGTCAGAGTCAAAAATAATCTAGACAGTGATAAAACGAATATATATAGTATTCGTGCAATAAATCAATCTTCGTTCATACTTCTGAAAGAAATTCTTCATGCAAAAAAGAGTTTGAATGATTTGTGATCGCGCCGAGATATCCTAAACAGTGTTGTCGTTCAATGTTAAACTAAGATTTTCACGTCTTTGGAGCAACGTGAATGCTTGTTGAGATGTTGGAGGAGTTAAAATAAATTCTACCTCATAGCAAACACTGGATCGTTTTTCCTAAACTTATTGCCGTTGGTATAAGGTTATTTTAAAAAGCTTCAATAACCACAGTAACCAAATTCCTTAGCACTCAATCTTCAGCTGAAATTGAGACCGCATCGTCAATTTTGTGTCTCGTCCTCGTTTCTAAATCTGTCTACTAACTCACGTATAAAACTTAATATATATTATGCCAAAACCAGTTGTTTGTTTTGCTCACAATGTTTCGGAAGTTGCTTCTCCCATCATCAGGCCGTGGTGAAATGAGGATTTCTTTCTGTATATTTAAGGTTGGTTACACTGTCAACGTTTTTGTGATCACAGTAGGAATTTTGCTTATGTTATGGCCTATCTTCATTCAAGAAAAATGTTCACGGGCAGAAAATTCTCCGAAAATATCATTGTTAAAAGTTGACAATTTTCGACTTCAAAATTTTTTCGACGGAGAATTTGTGTCTGCCAATCACATTTTACAAAATTTTCTTTCAGCGGAAAATTTTCCTGAGGGTAAATGGGCCTTAAATGCTAAGTTTTGAACGATTTGTAAGAAATGTTTAAGGAACTGATTCAGTGTTTAACACTGTGTTAGTTCCATTAAACATTTCTTACGAATCCAATTCAAAACTTAGAATTTACCTACCATTGCATAATTCCTACTGTGGTCACAGAAACCATGATATTGTAAACCGGTCTTTATGAACGACGTACAGTAAACAATCTTCCACCACGCCTGATCCGAGGTTACCTGTTTACAATTTTGTAATCAATACCAAGATAAAGGGCTTTCAATCTAATGTTCCAGACACGGAAACGAGACTCTATATATATAGACACGGCTAAGTACTTTCCGCGGAAGGGTGTATCAAGTTATTGGACGCAAATGCAAATGTATTACGTGCGCAGGCTCGTAATTAACTAGACGCGATAATTTTTTTTTTGGGGGGGGGATGGGGTGCATACTCATATATTCATGTTCACAACCGTAAAAACAATCGCTTGCAAAAGAAATCCGTCAGGCAGAACACGAATATATGAATATGCGCCTCCCCCAATTATCGCGTCTAGTTACGACCCTGAACGTGCGAATGGGGTGTCCAATGTTGCTAACGAGATTGAAACCATAAAACGTTATAAAATAACCCTATTCAGGTCTTCAACACTTGCAGTATCATAAAAAATACTCAAATGACAAAAATCTTACATTCAAGCGAGTATTATACAGCTGTGTAGCATTATAACTTTTCAAAATGCTCAAAGAGAAGCAACAGCCGCAGTCAGTGACACAATCTTGCTTTGACGCCATTTATGCTTTTAATGAACTATTTTTAATTCGCATGCACCCAAAATGGCGAAAGTCAATGAATATATGTCATAAAGTCACTTGCAGGAGCTCAATAGCTTTTAGACACCAAAAAAGTAAATCTATGCCCCTATTGCAGAACTAAGTATCTGCATAGAATAAATCGGTCACTCTAGCAAGTGACATATGACAGAATGGGTGACATATGACAGAATTACTTGATTACGATTAGCATTTCTATGGTTAGATGGAAAACACGGAGTCGGAGCCCCGGAGTCGGAGTCCCGGAGTCGGAGTCCCGGAGTCGGAGTCCCGGAGTCTGACGTCATAAAAATATGGAAAACACGGAGTCATATGGAAAACACGGAGTCTGACGTCAGAGAAAAATATGGAAAACACGGAGTCATATGGAAAACACGGAGTCTGACGTCATAAAAATATGGAAAACACGGAGTCATATGGAAAACACGGAGTCTGACGTCATAAAAATATGGAAAACACGGAGTCATATGGAAAACACGGAGTCATATGGAAAACACGGAGTCTGACGTCAGAGAAAAATATGGAAAACACGGAGTCATATGGAAAACACGGAGTCCACCATAAAATATGGAAAACACGGAGTCTGACGTCAGAGAAAAATATGAAAACACGGAGTCTGACGTATTGTCAGCGTGAAATATGGAAAATAGTAATTAAATAATATATAATTTATGCGAATATAAACAAACAGACGAATTTATAATATAACGAATTGGAAATTTTCTGCACTAATTCTGGTATTTCTCTAAAATGTCGTGAAAATATGGATTATTTATTTTTAAATACAATCAAGCAAATAATATTGTTTCTCTTGTCGTGTGACTTGTTCAGTTGTACAATATTTGAAGTGATTTTAATGCGGATTTTGTTCACCTCGCATTGGTATGTTGATAAAAATATAGTTTATATACTTAATACTGCTAGAATATTTCATAGTCGATTTACATGTAATATTTATAACACACAAAATCTTGACACAAAACAGATATGCTGCTTGGAAACAGCGTGCAATATTGTTATTTACTAATAAATAGATGCAGCCAGCCAATACACAAATCCGTGCAGTATATTAATGGCATTAAAAAAGTTTTAGGTGTCCAAACAAAATACCTGCACTATAGTGGTAAGTCCATACCAAGTTAATATCTCTAACATATAAGTTTTAGGTTTTTATATATCAAGCCATTGATATTTGAGTCAAGTCAAGATAGGTATTTATAACTGACCATTTGTTCCAGGCTTAATTGCATGATACCATTGTAAAATCGTCTGGCGTTATAGGCAGAGTAAAATATAAAGTAGGTTACATCTGGGCACATATATTGCCACTTATTTCATAAATATTACAATGCTTTTGAAAGGGATAATTTTAAGTGAAACCCACCTGTTGTGGACTTAAAAGTAAAATTGTGAACTGATGATGCAGAACCACTGGTAGCTAGGGATTGTGGGGCACTAAATTTACTGTTTTCGTAGATTTTTGTCCAAGCAATTAAGTTATAAAGAACAGAATAATAGTGTTGCCACATTCATGTAGTTATATAGGCAAATGGTTGATTTGTCAAATATCAATTATGGATTGTTTCATTATAAATACTGGAATGATCATACTGGATGGTTGTACAATAAGCAAAATTTGCCTTAGGGCCTGTTTATATGGAAGCCGGGCTGGCCAGCTTAGCAAGACAGCCCGGTAAGCGGGATGAATTTCTCTCGTGTTTATATGAGAAAATTTCATCCCGCTTGCCGGGACAATTTTGTTACATTGTATTGTTTTGACAGTTGTTAAAAATAGCTTGCGGCGGTATCTTTGAACTTTCATCCCGGCAACCAGCCTAGCCTGCTTGTGAGTGTTTATATGGAGAAATTTCCATCCCGGTAAGCGAGATCTCGACTCTTTCAAGCGAGTCCATATAAACGCACAATAATTTTTACTATAAAAATAACTACACAGCGAGATCTCACTTACCGAGCTGTCTCACTTAGCGGGCCAGCCCGGCTTCCACATAAACAGGCCATATAAACAGGCCATGTAAATTTAGTAAGCCAGTATCTAGGCTGGCTTGCATTACATATAAAACATCCCCTATAATCCTCAATAGTTGGAAAAAATTAAGAAGTAAAACAAATCTAGAATGAAATATATTTCCCTTCAATATATGCAATTTGTAGTTAGTTGTATATATAGGCACAAAAATGGCTGAAATAGTTTAAAATTCAATACAATGTCATTGTATTGACATGAAAATATTCTGTTTTTGTAGCCATAGGTGTTAATTTAAACCATGAGATGCTCAATCGTATGAACTATGAATGCAGATTTGCAATGGTGTAGTGGCATAGACTTGTCTATGTAAGATATATTGAGCATTAATTGCATGGTTTAAATTAACACCTATGGCTACAAAAACAGTTGGTAGAATATTTTCATGTCAACACAATGACATTTTATTGAATTTTAAACTATTTCAGCCATTTTTGTGCCTATAGGCACAACTATAACTACAAATTGCATATATTGAAGGGAAATTTACTTTCCAACTATAGTAGGATTATAGGGGATGTTTATATTATGTAATGCAAGCCAGCCGAGATACTGGCTTTAGTGGCTTACTTTACTAAGGCAAATTTTGCTTATTGTACAACCATCCATGCAGTATGAGCATTCCAGTGTTTATAATGAAATGTTCAATCATAATAGCTAGATATTTGACAAATCAACCATTTGCCTATAGAACTACATGAATGTGGCAACACTATTATTCTGTTCTTTATAACTTAATTGCTTGGACAAAAATGGGAAAGTACAAAACATGGACCCCCGGTCCATGGACCCCTTGTC